AGGAAGGAAGGAAGGAAGGAAGGAAGGAAGGAAAATTTTTATACTCCCTGCCAGCTTTCCAAAGGAAACTCAATTGGGAAGTTGGCAAGAAGTTAGAAATAGCTCTGGTTCCCACTGCTTTTTTTGCCCACCCATAGACATTCTTTTCTTTGTTTATATAACACATTATCTCTGAAGCAATGATCCAATGAGCACAAGCTGTCTAGAGACTGTTAATTATGATTTTATAAAAATAAAAGTTTGAAGAAACTCCTTCAAAAGCATCATACAGGCACTGGGACAAAAAAAAACTGAAAATATGGATGGGTTCTTCATATGACATTAAGAATAAACAGGCATGCTTGGGTAAAAGAAAATGCAATAAATAAATGTCCACAACAATTAACAGAATTAGCATTTCAAAAATAATTTTTTGAAATGATTCTTTAATATTAAATATTTAGATTTTCCAGCTGTTTCATTAATACTTCCAAAATTTGAAATAATAATAATAATAATAATAATAATAATAATAATAATAATAATAATAATAATAATAATAATAAAGTTGGAAGGGACCTTAGAGGTCATCTAGTCCAACCCCCTGCTCAGGCAGGAAACCCTATACCATTTCAGATAAATGGCTGTCCAGTCGCTTCTTAAAAACTTCCAGTGTTGGCGCATTCACCACTTCTGGAGGCAGGTTGTTCCACCGATTAATTGTTCTAACTGTCAGAAAGTTTCTCCTTAGTTCTAGGTTGCTTCTTTCCTTGATTAGTTTCCATCCCTTTCTTCTTGTCCTGCCTTCAGGCGATTTGGAAAATAGCTTGACTCCCTCTTTTTTGTGGCAGCCCCTGAGATATTGGAACACTGCTATCATGTCCCTCCTCGTCCTTCTCTTCATTAAACTAGACATACCCAATTCCAGCAGCCTTTCCTTATGTTTTAACCTCCAGTCCCCTAATCATCTTTGTTGCTCTTCTCTGTACTCTTTCTAGAGTCTCAACATCTTTTTTACATTGTGGTGACCAAAACGGGTGCAGTATTCCAAATGTGGCCTTACCAAGGCATTGTAAAGTGGTATTAATACTTCACGTGATCTTGATTCTATCCCTCTGTTAATGCAGCACTGTGTTGGCCTTTTTGACAGCTGCAGCACACTACTGGCTCATATTTAAGTAATTGTCCACTAGGACTCCGAGATCTCTCTCACAGTTACTACTATTGAGCAAGGTACCCCTATACTATACCTGTACATTTGTTTTTTCTTGCCTAAATGTAGAACCTTACTTTTTTCACCATTGAATTTCATTTTGTTAGATAGCACCCAGTGTTCAAGTCTGTCCAGATCCTCCTTTATCCTAAGCCTGTCTTCTGGAGTGTTGGCTATTCCTGCCAGCTTGGTGTTGTCTGCAAATTTGATGATTTCCCCATCTATCTCCTCGTCCAAATCATTGATGAAGATGTTGAAGAGCACTGGGCCCAGAACAGAGCCCTGGGGCACCCCAGTACACACTTCCCTCCATGTAGATGCGGTTCCATTGAGGACCACACGCTGAGTACGGCCGGTCAGCCAGCCACGGATCCATCTGGTGGTGATGCTGTCTAACCCACATTTTTCTATCTTATCAAGTAGTAGATTGTGATATACTTTATCAAATGTCTTACTGAAGTCCAAGTAAATTATATCCACAGCATTCCTCTGATCCACTAATTTTGTCATTTGGTCAAAGAATGCAATAAAATTTGTCTGGCATGATCTGTTTTTGACAAACTCATGTTGGCTTTTAGTAATGACTTTGTTTGCCTCTAGGTATTCGCTGATTGGTTGTTTGATTATCTTTTCCAGAATCTTCCCAGGTATTGAGGTCAGGCTTTAATAACTTGAAGGACAGTATTTAGGAACTACAATAATATACTGCATAACAAAATGCCATGCTAGACATCACATGCTTAGGTTTACTTTATGCATTATTATGCTCAGTGCTTTTTTTCTTAAAAAAAAAAAAAAAAAAGGTGCCGGAACTCACACACATCATATAACCCACCTTGCCCACCCTACAAGGTTCTATCCAAAAAAGGTGCCGGAACTCCGTTCTGGGCATCCTATGAGAAAAAAAGCCCTGATTATGCTAGTCATGAGGAAAAAAGTATGATGCAGATAGAACCAGATTTATCTGATATTCCATTTTTATTCTTGTTTCTTCAAAGTGTGTACCATTCTTGTTTTTTCTCTTCACTAAAAAACAAAATATAGGCATAGTTTTGTTTGTTTTTAAAACACATAGTTCTCCATATGCTACAAGGTTATTGCCTCCAGCACTTGTTATGACCAAATGCACAGCACATGAAGTTGTTGGCATTGCATGCACCCAGATGGCCAAGCCACTGAGGCATCACTTGTTAAGGAGGTGTGACAGTGAAAATATGCTTGTAGTTGATTAGCAATTGCTGAAAGGCATAATATCTTTGGATTGCACTAGTGACAGGCTGCACCGAAGCAACTTCCTTTAATTCTTCATAATACTGGACATTGTCTAGGCTTTTTGTTTCTGGTATGATGGAGACAACAAACTAGAGTTTTCTTATATGATAGTGGCAGTAGTAGAAAAGATTGCTAAAGTATATTATAATTTAGGGGCTGATTTAGGAATCATGCCTCATTCCAGATATATGTCAGTTAGTTATTATGGTTAGAATGATGAAAACCTTCTGGTAATAGAGTAGTTGAAAGGCCAGATGGAAAGAAAAAGCTTTCCCTACAAAACTTTCCAAAATGCTTCCTTTCAAAAATATACAAAAAGTAACGTACTCTTCTTATACTTAGGAAGGCAAATGATCTGACTGTCAAATCTATATCAAACTGAGTAATTAATTTAAACTATTCAAATATTTCACTCTAAAAATGTCATCAGTTTTTCCACCAATTAAAAAGACGATATCTGTTAGATATCTGCTATTAATCAGTTCCCCAACATAGTACGGTTCAGATATATTAGACTTTGATTCCTTTGGGATTATTGGAAAGGAAAGAAAAAACTGCCCTACACCAAAGATTGTTAAAGTCAGAAATTTAAGCTACCATAAACTTTAAACTATCATAAACATAGACTTGCAGATTGAAGACCTTGACACATTCTTGTTTTGTTTCAGTCACTTATCTGAATAAAGGATAGACTGAAAAAAACATGGACCTCCTGTCCTAGAGTTTTGAAGTCAGGCAACATTCCCAATTCTGGTAAACTCAGTTGTTTTCGTTGATTTGGGGCCAGTTTTAATGATTGCCAAGGTATTTTTTTTTTTTTTAATTTTGGCATACGGGCACTTTTCCAAACAAAATGAGATTGCAACCAATCCCATGTTTTATTTTCTTGAAATCGCTTATGGCCTGGAAAAGTCCCAAAGACATGATTAGAATAAAAATGATGAGCGAGGTTGCAGCTTTGTTTTTTAGCAAAGAACAAAAACCTATGGAGATTCTCAATTATCCAGGTCATGGTTGTCTCAAAAGTGCTTTTCCAAAAGGCAACTGGACTTTGTTTCGCTTTTCATCCAAGAAGCTTCTTCAGTTTTGACAGTCAGAACTAAAGAAGCTTCTTGGAGGAGAAGTGAAAGGTCCAGTTGCCTTTTGAAAAGTACTTTTGGGACAAAGAACAAATATATTTCTCATTTTTAAAAGAGCTACATGATCTAAGTGAATAAACAAAACCAGTCTGGCAGAAATAACGAAAGTTGCCCACAGATGCACCTTTCCTATTTTGCACTAGGATAATGAATTGAACACAATTTACTTCCATCTTGAATTGTTTTGGTCAACTTCATTGCAATTTCAGGGAATAATTGCTGCAATGCAACAGGCATGCATGAAGCAACAAAGTTTCACTTTAATGAAGCAATTTGTGTGAACTAAACAATTTGGTAACATTACATTGCATTGTGTCATGTTTTGGAGAAGGCTGTTTCAGCCTTCAAGAATGCCTGGCTAATGGATTAGCCACAGTCCTCACCAAAACTCTCCAGCCTGGTGAAATTTCATGCCTCAAGAAAGCACCAGGTGATTATATTATTATTTTAGAGTATCTTTCTCTAATACTTCCCAGAAAGTCTCAGTCTTGCATTGCAATCTCTAAGGGAATAAAGAAAGAAAAGTCCATTTGTGTGCCCGAGCCATCAAATCACTTTATTCCCAGGCTAGTTTCAGCAAGTAAAATTTAATAAATAATAATTCTATAGTAAAGGATTTGCTGCTGTTTTAACAATTTTAAAACAGTACTTAGTTTATAGCTAAGTATTTAGAAATACTGTCATCATGGTTTACAGAAACTATTGTATTACAAATGGACCAAAACTTGCCCAGAAGTCATCTTTATGCCTTCAGTCCAACAGGTCAGAAATAGTGAACAGTTCTCCACTTGCCTATAAAGCTGGTCAAGTAGGTGACAAGACCATCTCTGTGCTTACAACACAAACCTAGCTTTTTCTGGGGCTGATTCCATGTGAGCTGCAAACCTGGTGAAGGAAGATTTTAGTTCACATGGAAGCCTTTGTGTATATGTGATATCCTCCCACCCCACTGAAGACAATGATGCTATATGTTTATGTCACCAGTTTGACTAGGGAATATTAGCTTCTAATGAATGCTGAAGATTCTAAAATAATCCTTTTTAATTGTATCAGGTTTATAGTCTACTGATTTCTCAGTAACTTATATAAAACTACACTGGAATACCAAATTTGTTGAACTAAAAGCAAGATGAATTAAACAAGCTTGTATATTTACAGAAGGAAAATACAGACCCTCTGACATTGCCAAAAATGGCTAATGCTATTTGGAAAATGACAACACTGAAAGGAGAAACTGGCTGTATACCAATTCTTCATACTTTATGGAGCAGATCAAAGGTACTCTGTGGAATATATGCAGATAAACTTTTTAATAAGGCATGCAAAAGAACAAACAGTTTAAATAATCAAAAGCTAGAAATGTTACAATGGAATAAAAGGAAGATGCTCAAATTTACCTCTTCTCTATGGTTCTTTATTGGCATACAAAGGATGCTTTGTGTTTTATAGCCTGTGATTTGGTCCACTTCAGCATTGAATCGGGGATCCTGCCAAAGAAAGAAAATATGTAACTGTGCACATACCCTCTCAAAAATTGTTCTCATTTATTTATTTCATAAAACTATGGGATATCTAACAATTCCTTCTGAAAATTATATTTGCATTCTGAGACAGATGATAAGAAGATTCAATATATTTAGGAATTTCTGTCTTTTAAAAAAACTAATTTCTAAAGGTCTGTATGGAGTCTACTTTGGCGGGTCTTTGTTGCTCTCTGAGTTTGGTTGTTTTCTTGTATTCAATTCTTTACCCAAATTAGGTAACATCAACAGTGCTAGTCAGCAAGAAAACAACCAAGCTTAGAGAGTACCAAAGACCTATTATTTCAACCCTGAGCTATAAATATGCTTCCTTAATAGAGTCTATTTTAAATAACGTCTCATCTGGATTATTGTAATGTGCTGTACATGAGGCTGCCCTTGAAGAGCATTGGAAGCTTCAATTGGTGCAGGATGCAGCTTCATGGTTAGTAAAGGATGTTGGATTTCACTACGTGTAACACCACTGCTATGTTAGCTGCATTCGCTGCCAGTGTGCTTCCAGATACAATTCAAGGTGCTGGTTATCACCCTTAAAGCCTGTCTGGGCTTTGGGCCAAGTTACCTAATGCAGGGCTTTCCAACTGGTGGTACACGTACCACTGGTGGTACGTCGGCACCTGGCAGGTGGTATGCTTACGATGGGTTGAAAAGCACTGTAAAAAAAGTGTAATAGTGTAGCATGGGGATGAGTTGAAGCAGCGGCAATGCAGCACAGACCTGTGGGAGAGCCAGCTGGAGCCATGGTGATGCTGGGGCTCTGCTGAATGCCCAGGATCCACGCCCGGCTCCAGCTGAGTGGCGCTTCTGAAAGCTGCAGGCAGCCTGGGGAAAGGAATCAGTTGCAGCTATACCAAAGTGAAAAGGAGGAGGAGATAGACATGCCCGTGGGATGTTTACATTTGTCCCGGGACCGCCCTGGAAACAGTGAGCGGCTGGCTCATCTCAGCTCGCAAAGGAAAGTCCAGAATCCAGCGGGCCAGAAGGCAGCCCAGCTACCACTCCCCTCAGGTTCCTTCTCCTTGCCCCTTGGGCATAGTTGATGCTCCTTGCCATAGCTGGGGCGAGACTTGCAAGACTTCCTCCCCCTGCCACCATGCCAGCAGCCCTGACTAAAGGCCTAGCACTCCAGCCTTGCTTTGCCCAGGAAGGGGGCGGCGGCTGAGACTACATCCGATTTGCAGCTTGTAAGGGGCACTCAAAGGCTGCCCAACTTTACTCTGGAATTTCCTACTAATTACAGTATACCTTGAGGGTTTTTTAAAGAGCTTATGAGAAAAAGATGTGGCTGAAAATTAAAGAACGTATGGATTGAGCTGTGAGACAGGGAAGGGAAACACATGGACTTATGCACTTCCAGTTGCTGACAGGTATGCCATTAATATTCTGGCTGGACACCTGCACACTCTCAGGGCCTAAATATTATCTTCATTCTCCATAGGGCAATATTGTGGATTAACTAATTTTTTATGGGTTCTGAGTATCTTGAGCTATGGAGGCCTTTGATCTTCTTCTTACATACATAATAATAAAATAATTAGAACTAAAGGCTCAAAGGGAAGGCAGATTAGAAAGAACAAGACCTTTTGGGGTCTTCAATTCCCTTCCTGTTAAGAATACCTTAATAATGTTTGCTCTTCCTTCCTAACATCAATAAAAGTGGTTTTTCCAGAAAATATGTGAACAGCTATAATTAGTGATTTAACGATGTTTTCTTTTTGGCTGTGTTTTAATTTATATATTATGTATATTTAATTGAGGAAGGCTTGGAGAGGTAAAAGTGGCTAATATGGAGGCTGCACCTTGCCCTCCAGATCTCTGTCTCCCCTGAAAATCGCTGGAGAGGAGGAAGGGGTGGCAGGAGAGCTGTGTGAGAGAAGGCTGCCCCAACAAGCCAGCATCCTTACCATGCACAATTGGAAATGGGAATTCCCTTTCAAGAAGGGCCAGCCTCCCTTTCTAGGACCCGGGAGCACTGCTCCCCTGCCGCCTCCTCTTACTCTCCAGAGATCTGTCAAGACAGAAGTTGGACTCGGAGAAAACTGCTTCATGCAAACGTCCTCCACCTCCTGCTTTGCCGGAAGGGGGCACCAGATAGGGAAACACCAATGATGTCTGAGATTGGGAAAAGAACATCTCTTTAGCGGGCTACACACACACATACACACACACACACACACAGAGAGAGAGAAACATTCCAAGCTTGGAGACCTGTATTCATATCTGAGCGAGCAAATTGACAATCATGCCTGGCTTGGAGAGAAGGCCCTCTCCTTTCTCTGTGGACAAAAGTCCCCAAACCTGGAATGTGGTGTGCGTATGTGCATGTGTGTGTGTGTGTGCGTGCACATGTGCACGCATGCGCACGCATGCGCTTGGCTGCTAGCAGTTTGGGTAGGTGAGGCGTTTGTGGGGCAATGAATTGTCCCCACATCGAGTTAGCCACTGCAACTTGTTCCATTCCGACCCAGCTGTCTCGAGTCAACTGTGTCCAGTGAGTGGCATCAAGCATCAAGTACCACCTGCTAGGCGACTGGTGGTACCCGAATATTGCCATATCCTAAAAGTGGTACAATCTCTGAAAAGGCTGATGTCAGTATGCTAACTGTCTTTAATTTTAAATTAAAGTAAAAAAGCAAAATAAAAAATACTAAATATAACAAAGATATACTGACAGCCAAAAATATTCAAACAATCCAATGAGGGAAAACAGTCCTAAAAACTTGCTTTAAATTGATTCTAGAGTTCATAATGTGACACTTGGGGAGAATCTGAACTGAGCCAGTTCAACCAGCTGGTATGAAAGCTTTCTTTGGCCTTTGAAAATCTGGAAAATTGATGGCTTCTTTTATTAATTTCTAACCTTTATTTTTCATTAACAAAACAATTACAAGATTTACCACGCTGTGCACCACAGCTAATTTTGTAGATCTAAACATTTATTCTGATTAATAATTAATTTACAAAAGTTCCCAATTTATAGGCTAATGGACATCCAATCTTTTTTTTCCTGTGGAATAAGAACATATGTATTTAGTCTCTTTCTGTCTCATGCTTCCTAAACAAAAGTTTTGAATGGGTATTTGGCTTAAAATATCACTTCTTAATTTCATATTACAAAGAATTCTTCTGTCAATGTTTTGTATTCTTCAAAGCTACCAAATAAAAGTATTCAGGCTTCATCAAAGCAAATGTTCTGAATCAAATTTCCCAGAAAGTCACACTCAACATTTTATCTGGATTGTTTAATTTTAGAAATAAATAAAAGTTGTTAAAAAGTTCTGCAGAGGAACACTTGTGATGTGGTGGTCATTGGCTAACTATCTCAGTCATGTACTACTATAGTACTATTTTTATTTGGAGAAAAACATAAAATTAACAAAGATTATGTTAATTTTATATTTGCATCGATATATTGTATGTCTCCCAATCCTTTTTACTGTAAGGCCTAGTGTGAATTATAAACCATGCAGAGAAGGAATAGAACATCTTGAGTAGAAGAATTTAAATTCAAGTTTGTACTTCTTGCTATGCCGGAGACCCATTACTTCCAAATGGACGTAGTATTTAACTAGAATGGCTAAGATTTAGTGATGTGCTATCCTGTGAGATCATTATAAGAAGAAGGGCCAGCACAAAGCATGTGAGATAAGTTTTGCTCAGTATAAACAGGGCTAGGATGAATTTATATTTACAGGGGTTAAGGAAAGAGATTTGGGCCTCTAGTAAATCAGTTCACTTACAATGCCTAGTGCCAAAAACATTAAGTTCGTGCTGGGGAGTATCAGAGAAAGAATGCATAACAGGATGACTACAATTATATTGGGCAGGCACACATAAATACAGTTTATATATAAGTATAGTTTTATAAATAAATACAGTTCAGGTCACTGTCATTAAATTGGCTATTATAGAACTGGAAAACATACAAAAAAACATAACGGGAGGACTGTAACAAATTATCAGTGAGAAAATGTTGTGAAAATTAGAGCTGCATGGATTGGAAAAAAAATTGAAGAGATAAATTACAGAAGTATTCAAAACAATCTGTAGTATCAAGAAAGTAGATCAAGAATTTTGTTCCAACAAACCTCAACTGAAGGAGACTGAGGAAGATGGAAAGTGTTGAGTCCGTCGCGAAATGGTAAGACACGAGAAACAGTTGTAGTTCTCAGGAAACCTTTATTCTTCAGTTCAGCTTACATTGGAATATGGCGGCAACGCCCAAAACTCTCGGCCTCCTTTTATAGGCCTTTCCCGGGTCAATCTGCTACTTTTGGCGCGCCAGCACCCGCACATGCGCACACGTACTGGCGACAGCCTGTCTGGTCCTGGGCAGCTTGCACCCGCCTGGAACCGCCTGCAATGCCCCGAGCCTGCTTGCAAGGCTCAGGACATAACACCCCTTTCCCCCGGGCTAAAACTACGACCAATGCCATAATAATACACAACCCACTCTTAGTACAATGCTCTGCTCCCCCAATGTTCGGAGTTCCCCCGTTTCCATTGCCTTAATGTTTCTATCTTTCTACTGGCTCTTTTTAGCCAATAGCGTTATGTAATCCTCTAAGTACTTAGGAGATTTCCTTGCTCTCTGTGACCTCCTAAGCTCTGGGTGTCTGACAGGTACCCCTGACTGAGGGGTGATGTGTGCCTGTTCCCCTTGTTATGCCTTGGTGACTCCCAAGGACTGTGCTCCAATGCCTGGCCTGCTTGCTTGCCCACCGGGCTCGTCAGGCCAGGGCTTCTTCCAGTGTATGACCTGGTTGTCCCGCCTATCTGTAGGCTCTCTGGCCCTTCTAAGTGACTGTCACTGTTGGGCATTTCTGTAGAACTTCCTAGGTCCGTCCAAGACCTGTCAGGAGGCTGTCTATTCCCTGAATCCCGTTCTGTGTCCGGGCTTGTGTGGGTTTCAGTACTGTCCCAAAACTCAGTTGTCCCCTGAGTGT